TGGGTTAACATTTAGGGGTGAGGTAGGTTACATGGAGTTTATTAGGTGGTACTTAGTTTTCATCTTAAACTGGTTGAGAGAGGTACAGTCTTTGACATGACTGGGAAGGTCATTCCACATTCTGGGTCCCTTAATTTGTAGAGTATTTCTAGTTTGATTAAGGCATACTCTTGGAACATCAAATAGGTATTTGTTTCTGGTGTGGTGTTCATGGGATCTGTTACATCCTTCTAGGAAGCGTTTAAGGTCAGGATTGACATTGCAGTTCAGAGTTTAAAATTTAAAAGTACACATGAGAGAATGTGCAGTGACTTAATATCTAACATATTCAGAGATTTGAGTAGGGGTACCGAGTGCTGTCTGGGGCCAGAGTTGGATATTGTCCTAATAGCAGCTTTGTGTTGAGTAATTAGAGGACATAAATGATTTTGGGTAGTAGAATCCCAAGCACAAATACCATAGTTGAGATAAGGATAGATGAGGGAGTAATAGAGCGTCACCAGGGCAGGGCGGCGTACATAATATCTGATCTTAGAAAGAATGCCCACAGTTTTAGAAACTTTTTTTGCTATATTTAGAATGTGTCCCTGGAAATTCAGCTTGTTATCGATGAGAACCCCAAGGCATTTGCCATCTACTTTATTACTAATTTGGATATTGTTTATTCTTAGATGAATTTGATTTGAGTATTTATTACCAAACAAAATATAGAAAGTTTTGTCAATGTTAAGGGTAAGTGTGTTAGCAGTTAGCCAAAGATGGACTTTATTTATTTCAGTATTCACTGTGACATTTAAAGCAAGAGGGTCAGGACTGGAGAAAATGAAGGTTGTGTTACACAACACAATGTTGTACACAACAATATCCTCTGTGGTGGGTAGTTCTAGGGAAACCTTAGGTGTAGGCAACATAATAGGCAGTCTGGAGTCCCCTACCTTATCCCCTGCTAAATCATTACAATATTATATCAACATTAGGGAAAGGTAAGTAAGGAGTGACTCAGACTGTACAAATACCCTCGTGAAAATCAGATTCCAGGGTTACCTGACGAAGGGGTACTGGTCGAATATCACTAGTGACACCCTCGACCAGTACCACCTCTCCAGTGTCGAGAGTGTGTGTGGGCACCTTGCAATGCACTTTCCAAAATTAAAGTCTGGATGGCACCGGTGTCTCGGAAGATCACCACGTCCTTCCAGGAAGAACCCTCAAATTTTAAAAGCTTCCCCTTCGACAAGAATGGAGTAAGCAGGCCCAACCACTTTGGGTTGGGGGTCCCACTCTCTAACCCTTCAGAAGTCCTCAAGCCTTGTGTCGCAACATGAGCATTGAGCCTTTTTTCTGGGTACAGTTGCCAACATCGGCTAGTGGCTAGTGTAAACATCGGCTAGTGTAAACATCGGCTAGTGTAAACGTTTGAACGTTTACAATAGCCACAGTATCTTTGGGAAGAAGGGACATTACTACCAGAATTCCCCCATGGTTCACTCTTAGGTGCCTTGGGGTTAGACAATTTAAAGTGGTTAGTATTGTCTAAACGAGAAAGTGCAATAGTTACAGGGTTAGATTGGGCTGATTTGGACTGACTGTGGGTATAAGGTTTGTTACCACGTGGGATATAATTATTTTTAATGAAAAATTTGCCGGCCAACTGGTAGTTTTCTGCCAGCTTGTCCAAATCAACAATACTTGTATTAATCTCCTTCCTTACTGTGAGATACCGTGCCACCGGCTCTGACATGTTACCTATAAATCCTTCCACTAAAATCATTTTTTTTAGTGCCTCGTTTGTCTCGGATTTAGCTGACTGAATCCACTTTATAACAATCAAATTTGAATATTTGCAAATTCAGTAAGAGGTTGGTTGTGAGTTGGCTTAAGGTTGCGATCGGCCTAGCAGTGAGCTTCAGACATAATTTAATATACCCTTAAATTTTGTTCCCTGCCTTTACCATAATTAAAAAAATCCTAATCAGGCAGGTTTATGAAAGTATCTTGGGCTTGATATCTTAGCTGCCCCTGCAAGATGCTCACCTAATTTTCTTCTGGCCAGCCACTGAAAATGGTCAAAAAAATCTTTCAGGGGTCTAACTCTGAAAATTCTGGCAAGTTAGGTTTTTTACCATAATGCATGGATGGGGTTTGAATCCCCGGCAGGTGGTGGTACGGTGGTAGAGCCTCTATTACTTACCTCCTGATATCTGAGTCTTTGCTTCTGTAATTTTGCCTCTTGCTTGCCGTCTTAATTTGGCTATCTCTAACTCTATTTCCCTGTCCCTCCCATCTGCACTTTCAGCTGGGCTGGGCTGGCATAAAGCTGTATCAATTGGCAATAGTTCTTGGTCTATGCAATGTTGTAAAATTTTGTTAATGAGTATCCACTTTTTATCAGTTTCAATTAACTCTAGACTAAAACTCATTTTCAAACAACACTAAGTTCGATTTAGTCAGCAGCTTAATTTCCACCACTGAGAGGGTACCTGCCAGTACCTTGAATTTAGCCTCCATCATTAATTATTCTAGATACTGGCAAAATAAAAATTGAAAAAATTAAAAAAATTACCACGGCTCCTGTTAAAAGACCAACACTTACCTCAATCATGGAGAAGAATCCAGTTAGTGCAAGATGTAATTATCCTTTGCTAGTTGAACTGGACCCTAGGCTACCACACAACTGTTCCTACGAAGGTCACAAAATTAGTTCCAGCACTCAAAAACTTAAATTTTTACAATTTATAAAATATATAAATGTCTCCCGGACAGGCCCCCACTTGTTATAGTTGAACTTGTGTTTGCTCTGTGAGGGCCAACAGCTAAGGTCAAGGAGTTCCTAAAATAGTGGATTTAGCTTAGGCTCGGCCCCCAAGGAAGACAAGTCCCAGCAAATAATACTTGACCTACAAAGTCTGCAGTCTAGAGTGATTAATCAACTCCACTATAAACAGGGTAAAAAGATACTCTAATATATCCTTAGTACTTATTTATTAACCCCCTTATAATCCCCCAAAATACAACAAATACTTTATCAACTCAACTCGATCTTACTTTAACCCCCTTTGATCCACATAGGCAGGATACAAGGCTTACAAACAGCAACTGAGGGTAACGTCTACGTTCCTGAAGGGACAGAACACACATAGTTTCCCAGTAAACAAAGACACATGTGGTCTCTCTTAGCCACCCCAGAGTTAACGTTTGGGGCTCAAACATTGGCTTAAGAAGACACAATTAATATCTTAAAACTCGGTGGCAAAAATACTCAAAGATTTGGTACTTAACTTGGTAACACAGAATAAGGAGAGAGAAGCGAGGAGGATGAGAAGAGGCAAGGAAACGGCCCACAAGGTTGTGCGAGCGGTCAGTTATCTTGAGATGATTTCGGGGCTTTAGTGTCCCCGCGGCCCGCTCCTCGACCAGGCCTCCACCCCCAGGAAGCAGCCCATGACAGCTGACTAACACCAAGGTACCTATTTTACTGCTAGGTAACAGGGGCATAGGGTGAAAGAAACTCTGCCCATTGTTTCTCGCCGGCGCCCTGGATCGAACCCGGGACCACAGGATCACAAGTCCATTATGCTGTCCGCTCGGCCGACCGGCTCCCTTAAGTTAAAAAATCCAGCAGAGAAGAGCGAAAAAACTTTCTCGTTCCCCCATGATCGCTGCCTGAAGGATACTCAATTGATCGTACAGTAGCAATAATACACGTCTTCAAAGACACTCATTTACTTGTTACTTTAAACAGTCATAGAATAGCTAACATCTAGCTTTATATTATATTAATATTTAATTAACACAGTCTGCCAACAGTATGAGCAACAAGGTTATTTCTACGTCTGGCAGGGAAGACTGGAACATAAACACAGGCAGGACGCAGATTCCTTGACTATAAGTTATACTATTAATTAAATATCCCTCTTACATAATCCAATCCTACCGATTAATGTTCTAATATTTATTTAATCAAGAACCCACCCAAAATCCCTAAGACAAGTCCTATCACTACCGAAATACTTGAGTGACTGATCCCTGCATGAATATAAAAAAACCCAATTTGACCTCTGGTTTCCTGGCAGAGCCAATTAAGAACCCAGGGTCATAACATGGAGTTTCGTGAATCTAGGTCCTCGTCTGTAGCAGGTTGTGTGTACTCCAGCCTCCAGCCCTTGCAATGAGTGTGTATGTGTTTACATCGGCCAGACTGGTAAATCTCTTTCCTCATGTTTAAAACTACATTCAGTTGCTATTCGCACAGCCCAGCACTTCTGTGCATTGTATTTACATTCCAGTTTATGTGATAGTTCTATCGACTTCAGAGGGACAAAATGTATTGTAAAAAGTAAGGGTTTCGTTGAATGAAATGTGATTGAGTCCGTTCTGATCAAGCAATGTAACAACACCCAAAACGTAAGCCCTGGAATGTACAAATTAGGTCCCCATATAAGCTTTAATATAGCACGTCAATACAATGTAGCATCCATTTAACCTGTGTTTATTTTTTTTCCTCCGGAGGCACTTATACACTATTTTCCAGTGTTTTTATTTGGTACAGTTACACTTTTCATCCTTTCCTACCCTCTTTTTTTCATCTTTGTTCCATAAGGTTTCATCCCCTATCTTGGTGGTCAGGTGCCTGCCTGAAATATAAGGATATAAGGTATCTGGATATAAGGTCTGCCTACCATGTTTCTTTCTTCATTCTCTATTTTGCTCTAATGAAGGCGAATTAAGCCGAAAACGCTTTTAGCATTCTCTAATTTTTCACATGTGGTTTTTCTGCATCGTCGTTAAGGCTGCTGCTAGAACAGTTAGCCAGGCAGCAGAACTTGGCTGAACTTGGCTGTCATTTGCATAGTCTACTGTTGTGTTCAACATCTATTCACAAGATGACAGATGTTGACTTGTAATTACAGTACTGCTTACAGAGAAAACAAATGTAACAGCAGATGTATAAACAAGTTCAGATGCATCTATACTGTACATTATTAATGTTCTTTTCTTAGGACATGGCAGGCGTGATGCTGATCCTTCCCCTGTTTATAGTCCATCTCCGGCACATGGGCATGACTCTCTTGATGGGAGGCATCATCCGCTCCTTCTACGGCATACTTCAAATTATATCCTCTCCTGTCATGGTATGATTATTGTCTTATTGCCTTTAAAGGCTTGTTTACTTAATTTGATATAGACTTACTTCAGTACAATTGAATATCATGATGTTAGTACATAGGGCCTACTATAAAATAAAACTTGAACTCATAATAGTACTCTTTAAATTTTAAATTTCGCCCTGAGGGGCGAGTTTATTGGGCAGCGCCACTCATCCTGTGAGTGGACACACCGCCATAGTGACAGTATTGGGCAGCGCCACTCATCCTGTGAGTGGACACACCGCCATAGTGACAGTATTGGGCAGCGCCACTCATCCTGTGAGTGGACACACCGCCATAGTGACAGTATTGGGCAGCGTCACTCATCCTGTGAGTGGACACACCGCCATAGTGACAGTATTGGGCAGCGCCACTCATCTTGTGAGTGGACACACCGCCATAGTGACAGTATTGGGCAGCGCCACTCATCCTGTGAGTGGACACACCGCCATAGTGACAGTATTGGGCAGCGCCACTCATCCTGTGAGTGGACACACCGTGAGTGGTCATAGTGACAGTATTGGGCAGCGCCACTCATCCTGTGAGTGGACACACCGTCATAGTGACAGTATTGGGCAGCGCCACTCATCCTGTGAGTGGACACACCGCCATAGTGACAGTATTGGGCAGCGCCACTCATCTTGTGAGTGGACACCGCCATAGTGACAGTATTGGGCAGCGCCACTCATCCTGTGAGTGGACACACCGCCATAGTGACAGTCTTGGGCAGCGCCACTCAACATGTGAGTGGACGTCATAGTGACAGTATTGGGTAGCGTCACTCATCCTGTGAGTGGACACACCGCCATAGTGACAGTATTGGGCAGCGCCACTCATCTTGTGAGTTGTCGGAAAATCCGACACCATTTAATAATCATACAGATAATAACTGTATTACCAACAAGTTACCCATAGAAAACGTAACTTGTAGTGGAATTACCGTCTATAGAAAACGGGATATCATCACCACATACTATTATAATTCACCAGCTATTCTGCTGGCTTAAATACATTAGTCTTTGGACTTTACCATCATAAAAACATCTTATATAAATTAACTTAATTATCAATATTAAAGTAGAGTAAATCTCCTATCATTCTGGACAATGTCGGCCAGTAACGTCAATAGAATGGAGTGTTAAACAGCCATTGTGTATACGAGACCAGAGGCACATGGGAGCAAATACGGCTCCTGTTAATTTTACTTGGACGTAGTGTTATGGAAACCAAAGGTACCATCTCCAACACGATGTCTACAATTCAAGTTAAGTGTCTATCCGAAACCCGTTTATCATTCATTTATGGCCATTAATGTCAGGATATAGGGTGACCCGGTTAGATCGCGAAATCGCCTCAAACTAAAGGTAATTAAGCCAAGTCTCAATGTTCCATGTTCCATATAGTGTTTTCTCTGAAATACTTGTCATATATAGGTATCTGGCTTCACAGCTAGCGCACTTTTGACAGGTCAAGACGAGGATGCAAGATTTTGTGCACCAGTTACTGGGTGATGGAAGCTGCCTCAAAGAGGATAATTTGGTGTCTACACCCTAGTTATACCTGGTGGACTAACCTGCTGTACTATAAGATAAGGAACCTCATCAATGTATGTAGCTATTACTGTAGTTTGATTGGCTGCATATATATTAATTAATAAACCCCCTAATGTGTAGAGGATCGATTTGTGAGATTATGAGATTATTGCAGAAATACAGTCCACTTATCATTATACAAATTGCTATCGAAGTATATAAATTAACGTAAATATAAATTCATATAAATTAAATAAATATAAATCTCACAGGTCGGTTCCCACATGAGTGGACACCGCCATAGTGACAGTATTGGGCAGCGCCACTCATCCTGTGAGTGGACACACCGCCATAGTGACAGTATTGGGCAGCGCCACTCATCCTGTGAGTGGACACACCGTCATAGTGACAGTATTGGGCAGCGCCACTCATCCTGTGAGTGGACACACCGCCATAGTGACAGTATTGGGCAGCGCCACTCATCTTGTGAGTGGACACCGCCATAGTGACAGTATTGGGCAGCGCCACTCATCCTGTGAGTGGACACACCGCCATAGTGACAGTATTGGGCAGCGCCACTCATCCTGTGAGTGGACACACCGCCATAGTGACAGTATTGGGCAGCGCCACTCATCCTGTGAGTGGACACACCACCATAGTGACAGTATTGGGCAGCGCCACTCATCCTGTGAGTGGACACACCACCATAGTGACACTATTGGGCAGCTCCACTCATCCTGTGAGTGGACACACCGCCATAGTGACAGTATTGGGCAGCGCCACTCATCTTGTGAGTGGACACCGCCATAGTGACAGTATTGGGCAGCGCCACTCATCCTGTGAGTGGACACACCGCCATAGTGACAGTATTGGGCAGCGCCACTCATCTTGTGAGTGGACACACCACCATAGTGACAGTATTGGGCAGCGCCACTCATCCTGTGAGTGGACACACCGCCATAGTGACAGTATTGGGCAGCGCCACTCATCCTGTGAGTGGACACACCGCCATAGTGACAGTATTGGGCAGCGTCACTCATCCTGTGAGTGGACACACCGCCATAGTGACAGTATTGGGCAGCGCCACTCATCCTGTGAGTGGACACACCGCCATAGTGACAGTATTGGGCAGCGCCACTCATCCTGTGAGTGGACACACCGCCATAGTGACAGTATTGGGCAGCGCCACTCATCCTGTGAGTGGACACACCGCCATAGTGACAGTATTGGGCAGCGCCACTCATCCTGTGAGTGGACACACCGCCATAGTGACAGTATTGGGCAGCGCCACTCATCCTGTGAGTGGACACACCGCCATAGTGACAGTATTGGGCAGCGCCACTCATCCTGTGAGTGGACACACCGCCATAGTGACAGTATTGGGCAGCGCCACTCATCCTGTGAGTGGACACACCACCATAGTGACAGTATTGGGCAGCGCCACTCATCCTGTGAGTGGACACACCGCCATAGTGACAGTATTGGGCAGCGCCACTCATCCTGTGAGTGGACACACCGCCATAGTGACAGTATTGGGCAGCGCCACTCATCCTGTGAGTGGACACACCGCCATAGTGACAGTATTGGGCAGCGCCACTCATCCTGTGAGTGGACACACCGCCATAGTGACAGTATTGGGCAGCGCCACTCATCCTGTGAGTGGACACACCGCCATAGTGACAGTATTGGGCAGCGTCACTCATCCTGTGAGTGGACACACCGCCATAGTGACAGTATTGGGCAGCGCCACTCATCCTGTGAGTGGACACACCGCCATAGTGACAGTATTGGGCAGCGTCACTCATCCTGTGAGTGGACACACCGCCATAGTGACAGTATTGGGCAGCGCCACTCATCCTGTGAGTGGACACACCGCCATAGTGACAGTATTGGGCAGCGCCACTCATCCTGTGAGTGGACACACCGCCATAGTGACAGTATTGGGCAGCGCCACTCATCCTGTGAGTGGACACACCGCCATAGTGACAGTATTGGGCAGCGCCACTCATCTTGTGAGTGGACACACCGCCATAGTGACAGTATTGGGCAGCGCCACTCATCCTGTGAGTGGACACACCGCCATAGTGACAGTATTGGGCAGCGTCACTCATCCTGTGAGTGGACACACCGCCATAGTGACAGTATAGGGCAGCGCCACTCATCCTGTGAGTGGACACACCGCCATAGTGACAGTATTGGGCAGCGCCACTCATCCTGTGAGTGGACACACCGCCATAGTGACAGTATTGGGCAGCGCCACTCATCCTGTGAGTGGACACACCGCCATAGTGACAGTATTGGGCAGCGCCACTCATCTTGTGAGTGGACACACCGCCATAGTGACAGTATTGGGCAGCGCCACTCATCCTGTGAGTGGACACACCGCCATAGCAGCATGTACAACACTCCTCAATAGGAAGAAAACCCGCTGGGTTGTTCATCCTGTCACTTGTACCCAGACACAGCTGGGACTTGCTTAACTGTCTCAAGTGAACAGTTCCTCAAACAAGAAGATTAACTTCTGTCAACCCTTAAAAGCTTACGTTATCTTGCGGGTGCAAAAAGGGGGAAATCTTTTAAGAACAGCATCAATATTTGACAAATAGTGTTTTCCTAACTCAAACAATGTGGGGTTTATTATTCTACACATATTCCTAATGTCTCTCAGGTGTTCACATTCACGTAGATAGTGGTCAAGGCGGTGTCCATCACTCTCACCGCAGATTCTGCAACTTCGCAGATCAACTGTTGTTTCCATTCCATATCTTCATAGTACTCTGTAGTGTAGGTACAAGATTTATTTATTTATTTATTTATTTATTTATTTATATACAAGAAGGTACATTGGGTTTGAGAGAATACATAGAATAGTATTTACACTCTTGTAAAGCCACTAGTACGCGCAGCGTTTCAGGCAGGCCCTTAATCTAACAGATAATTTTAAGTAGGTAAATTCTAGCAGAATTAATAAAATGATAAATACATTGCAAGAAAAAAAATGAGATGAGAGAGATTAGTAAGTATATTAAGGCACATTGATATATTAAAGCTCTGATTGATTACATTGACAGCTTGATTGGTAATTTAAACAAGATTAATAGACACCATACAGCAGATTGACAGCACATATAAGAAGACAGCAATGATCACAATGTTCGGATTGGGTACATAAAGATTGGGAGATTGGGTAGCAATAGATACAGTGCAATTTTAAAGCAAAAGGTAAAAAACTATGAAGATGAAATTAAGTACTTTTTAGTATTGTTTTTGAATGATGTAAAAGTTGGACAGCTTTTCAATTCAATAGGGAGTGAGTTCCATAGACTGGGTCCCTTTATTTGCATCGAGTGTTTACACAGATTAAGTTTGACTCTGGGATATCAAAGATATATTTATTCTGGTGTGGTGATAATGGGTCCTATTACATCTGTCCAGGGAGAGTTTCAGAGCAGG